TTTTGTAGCGGACGATGTAAGACATTCATAAATTGTAGGAGTTGGGTGTAATTTCTGAATTGTAAGGCAATATTTTTGTAATTATACTCTATCTTAGGGAGTTAGTTATAATTTACCTAATACATTAATTGAAAAGGTATGACTTATGAGCATGAGTTAGCTCTGCGGTGGGATTCAATAATGGTGATATATATTGAAAATAATTCTCTTAATTGTCATTTTGCCTTTAGACTTTTGCCACACCATCTAAAAAATAAAATATATTCATTAGCACTATTTACCAATAATGGTGAACAATTCCATCACCTATCTTGTCTTTTTAATTTCAAATATTGGTCCCACTAGTATGATTTTGGGCTTGTTAGAACCGTGAAAAAAATATTAATAATTCTTTTTTTTTTTCTAATAAAAGAAAAGATTTAAAAATGTAACAGATATAAATTAATACTTGATAAATTAATAACTTTTCTTAAACAATAATTTTTCCCAATCCCATTTCGATGTAAACATACTGAATAATTAATTCAATAATTTAATATTTTGCTAAAATTAATAGAATTTTGTTAGTTCTGACCTATTAATTTATAGAAATTTAACTGTGCAATTCTTTTTTATATAGTTCAATTGGTGGAGACAAAAATAATCATAATAGTGTTTTGCAATAGCAACTTGTGCTATATAGTAAGTTCCACTTTCATCTACTTGTGTTATCCCCTTTTCATATTTTAGTTCAAAGTTTTAATTCTTAGATAAATAAATAGGTTCAAAGTTTTAAGCCATGTTTGGCTTCTTTATGAAAGCAAATAATATACTCCTCAAATGAAATTGTGTCTTATTTATTTACTTTTATTTTGTTTGGAATCACGTCTAATGTTATTTTTATTGCAGAAAAAGACTTTAATTATTATCCACAATCTTAACTAGTGGTTTTATTGCATTGGGATCCTTGTATTTATCCTAATTACAAACCAAAAAAGCTCTGCGAGCCAATAAAAAATACAGCATAAAATATGCTTTCGAAATTTAATTTTTGTATTAGTAATTTAGGGGGATTGAGAAATAAATTGACTTGTTTTATACTATATACTATATACGTTTACAAATCAATTTTATTATTTACACAAATATGCATGTATATTCTTTTATTGTATGTAAATTGAAGTTGATTTTTTTTTTATAAATGTGTTTTTACTAGATGTAGTATAATATAACCATGGGTCTAAATCGAGAGATACATTTTATTGTGAAATGCTCTTGACGGTTTAAAAATTGTTATTTACCGTTCAAAACAAAAAATATTTTATCTCTCAGTAAAACTCTCAAATTTCTCCAAAAACCCCCCATTCGAACATTTTCAGAAAAAAAAAATTCGAAAAAAATCGAATTCAACCAATTTCATTGCTTGGGCTTGGATTTTTTCAGGTAATTTCGACTCCTACTTGTGTTATATGCATTGGGTAACTCGATTTTGCAACCAAATTCATGTTTAAAAGCCCTACAAATCAATTTGTAGGGCTTTTATAATTTTCGAAAAAAATTCGAACGCCCAAGTCGGGCGCCCGCCGCCTGAACAGGCGCCCAAAGTGGGCGTCCGTTCAGGCGACCGGCACCCGACTTGGGCGTTTAATCGATTGTTGGACGCCTGGTTTGGGCTTTTCCCGGGCAAACCGGCGCCCGGTCCAGGCGTCGGTTCGGCCGGGAAAAGCTCAAACCGAGCGTTCGATATAATTTTTTATTTTTTATTTTTTATTTTTTTTCTGATTTAAAATATTTTTTTTTCTGAATTAAAATAAGTTAGTGAATTTAATATAATTTAGTGAAAAATAATTTTTATGTTTGCAGGATGTCTAATGTTCCGACTCCACCTCCTGTCCCGATGGGTGGTACTTTCGGTGGTTCTAATCCTATCCCGAGGATTTTCGTTTTTTAGGCAAAATTTATGTTTAATAAAATATGTTGTTCAAAACCTGATTTCCATTTTTATTATTATTATTATTATTATTATTATTATTATTATTATTATTATTATTATTATTATTATTATTATTATTATTATTATTATTATTATTATTATTATTATTATTATTATTATTATTATTATTATTATTAGAACATAATATAATAATAATAATAACATACTAACATTCATTATAACATATAACATAAAAATAATAACATACAATGTCAATAGTAATACATTCATTCTAATAAAAAAAACAAAACTAAATCAAACACTATTTAGAATATCCCACGCTTCATGTCCACTCCGCAACGCCTCTGGTAGATATGCAACACTATTATTGCTATACCTCGCCCACTGTCTATCAATCGGAGGAAGCGGGCAATTGTCATTCATCTTCACATACACAAAGTGGCTTCCTGGTTCAAGAAATAGTATAGTCATCTCGTAAGATAACTGTGAAACACCTTCGGAAGCCCAAAGTGGTAAATAAGTCTGATTGCCCAAACTGCTAGCCGACAAGACCAACGCGTTGTAATATGTTGCCACAACCACGCCCACGTCCGTGATAGTCATCCACTTCTCATATGGTGCTGGGGCGTTGTCCCAATAAGCGACACTCGTCAACACCCGATACACTGAATTACCACCACCGAAATAATCCTTGAAGAACTCTTCGTGTCTTCTAATGCAGTTATAAACATGCAATCTAACATTCATCCAATCATCCTCGTGGTTCTTCACTGCACACGCGACGCTTCGTCGCATTTAAGGGGGTCGGGGAATTTTACCCATTGCGGGTCCACTCACGGTCGATGAACGACCACGGCCACGGCTAGATCTCTCAGAAGATGAACCACGCCATCTGTTGCCTCGTGATCGTCCTCGTCCTCGTCCAGACTCTTCACCTTTTCCCGCATATAATGGAAACTCATGCCCTGACTGATCCCTCTGTGTAGAGTTCTTCCGCGGTTTACCTCTCTGGCAGTCTAGTACTGGTGGCTCATTCATTTCCATAGCTCCGGGATGCATTCGTTCAAAAACGACATCTGTCACGTCTGTGATCTCAATTTCTGACCGCTCACGCAACTCATTCATTAACCCTTCTAGCATGCCAATAGCCTATGACCTGTGGTCGGGAACAGAACCAACATTTTCATCAAGGGAATCCCCGAAACCCGAAATAAATGTCCTCCAAAAAACGTGGACATCCTCTGCGTAAAACACACCACGTCGTGCATTCACCTTTGCACGAATTTCATGTCTGCACGGGAGGCCAAGACATTTCCTCATATAACAGACACAACTCATCCTTCTCATCGTCCAACATCTTCAGAGCGTTATGTGTTACAATTCCACTGGACAATATTTTAAATACGGGCACGTTGATCGTCTGGGCCCGAATCCTCTTTGACTTTGCAAATTCGGCTAGTATCTCGTTAAATTGATCTTTCATCTGTGAGTGATACTGTGCCCAAAATGTGTCAAAGCCACATGTGAACGAATCCGATCATCTCTTCAATGCTCTATGGTTTCTCTCCACCCTAATATGTTTATAATATGCTATGTTTCAATAAACAACATGACAGTAAGTTAAGTATATATATTTAACCACTTATAAATAAATACCTGCTTGTCGATGTATTACCCAAATGAAAAATTAGATCCGTCCATACTTTTACAAATTTCTCTTTGTATACGAGCCAAGTGCCTTGGAGATACTCAATCAATTCTGGATAATTCACGTACTTGTCCATCAAAGTTGTGTAATTCTTGGCGAAATCTTCTTCACACACTGATTTTACCAAAGTTTGCCACGTACCAAGTACAAAAGCCGTGCCACAACGCCTACTATTGCCGAGACATCTTGAAGTACGACGCCCCACATTCATGTTAATGTGCCAAAGACATAAGAGATGAGGTTCGGTCGGAAATACATTCTCTAGCGCCTTTATCAGCCCTAACTCTCGATCGGTCACGATGGCACTAGGTGTCTGAGGGGGAAAAAGTCTCTTCAACTTTTGCAACACCCATGTGTAATGGTCTTCATTTTCATGGCGCAAAAATGCGACTGCAACAGTAAAAATTTTCCCGACAGGAGTAACACCAACAATCTCCAACAAAGGCAATTTGTACTAATTGGTTTTGTAAGTACTGTCAAGTAGTATAACATACGGAAACTTACTTAACAATTCGACAGATTGAGGGTGAGCCCACATCAAATCAATAACTGCATGTGTTGTTTCATCAGTACGTAACCATTTGTAATAGTTATGCTCCTCAAGCAACCAAATCAAATGTTGCATCACTGTACGGTCACCCCTAGATAGTCTTTTCAATTTCGCCTTCTCATTGTATACTTGTTTCGAATAAGCATCGAGACCCAAACCATTTTGTCTCAAGTTAGCCAAAATCTTTTTGGGCGGCACATGACTTTGTGACAGATCACTAATAATCTTCGCCTCCTCTTGAGACAATGCACTCATCCCATGTCCGGACATGTATATCGGGAAATGATTATGCTTCCCCTATACTACTTTGACCTCCCATCAATCATCCCATCGTAGCTCTCCGACAATTTGAAAACCACAGTTTCTTTTTTTGCTACCGGTCCTTCTCGGGCGTGCGTCTGCGTTAGTTGATGGACATTCTCGTTTCTCCCCGTATAGGTCACAAGTCAAAAAAATCTTTTTTTTAGGACAACTTTTTTTTTACTATTTTCACTAAAAGACGTCTTGCAACGAACCTCGCCCAAACCACTACCTCATCCTTCGAGTCAAACAACTGAATAGTGGTAAAATAATCGGTATGATCAACTTCAATTGTAGACGTATCGTCCTGAAAAAAATGTAAAAAAATTGATTACAAAAAAAAACGTTTAAAAGCCAAAAGCCTAACTCGGGCGCCCAACGGTGCAGTGCACGCCCATGTTGGGCGTGCAGTTGTCCTACAAACGCCCGTAATGGGCGTGCAAGAGCCAACTGCACGCACAACATGGGCGTGCACTGCACCGTCGGGCGCCGAAGATGGGCTTTTAAACGTTTAGCCCATTTTTTTTGATCGAAAAGACGGAATATTTACCTCGTTATGTCCGCTATCCAGATCTTCATCCGATGAACTCATTTATGTTCGTATATCATACCAATAAGAATGATTTGTGATGAAATCGCCTTGAGAGCATTCTTTTTAAAGAGAGAGAGAGTCTTTGAACGGTAAATAGCAATTTTCAAACCGTAAAAAACAAATCTCATTTTATTCAAGGCCCGAATTTGAAATATCCCAAAAATGTTGACCAATCGAGCAAAATAGCAAGAAACACGCGGCGCAGGTTAGCAAGGACCACCGCCTTAATTCCTCGAGGCATTTGAATAATAATCAGGACTGGTTGACTGAAAGCGTGAAGAGAGAGAAAGAGAGTAGAGAGAGAGAGAGAGAGAGAGAGAGAGAGAGAGAGAGTGAGCTCCAAAAAACAGGAGTTCGAATTTTATATATATATAAAAGGCGGGGCTTAGGGTTTCTACCTTCTCTCTCTTTCACTCTCACCTATACATACAATACAGGCATACACACACACACACGCACACAGCGTGAGCTGTTGGAGAGGACGAAAAGCCATGGCTGCGAGAACTCGGTGCTTTCTGGATATAAACATCGGCGATGAGCTGGAAGGGAGAATTGTTGTCGAACTGTACAATGATGTAGTGCCGTTAACCGCAGAGAATTTCAGAGCTCTGTGTACCGGAGAGAAAGGCTTTGGGAAAGAAGTCGGCGTTCCTATGCATTACAAGGTATTTAATCTTCTCATTTTTTTTTTATTTATTTAGTTTTTATTTTTTGTTCAAACACATTTCACACATTTTTATTGATTCTCTGTTCGTCCGCTGTTTTTTTTTTTTTTTTTTGTAGTTTTTTCTGTGCATAAAAAATTTACTCCGAGTTAACTCAGTTCTTATTTCTGGTTGGTTGTTTTTAATGTTGATTGTTCTGTTTCATTAGAATTTATCACGAAAATTTTGTTCTGCATTTTGTTTAGGGTTCCTGTTTTCACCGTGTGGTTAAAGGTTTCATGGTACAAGGCGGCGATACTTCTTCTGGCCATGGGCGCGGCGGTGAATCCATATACGGATTGAGATTCGACGACGAGAATTTCGAGTTAAAACACGAAAGGAAGGTACGCTGTTCGATGGCGAACACAGGACCGAACAGCAACGGGTCACAGTTCTTCATCACCACACCCGAACATCTCACCTGGATGGAAGCATGTCGTGTTTGGGAGGGTTATAAAGGCATGGGAGTTGTTCGCTCTATCGAGCATCTCCCTGTAGGCGAAGAGGGATTTTCCTACGGTACCTGTTATCATTTCCGATTGTGGAGAAATTCCAGAAGGGGAGGATGACGGTACAGCAAACTTCTTCAAAGACGGTGATCTGTATCCTGATTGGCCGACGGATCTTGATGATAATTCCAGTGAGCTCTCTTGGTGGGTTTCGGCTGTGGAATCTATTAAGGGATATGGAAATGAACATTTTAAGGTAATTATTATAAGGGGATGATAATCTTTTTTTCTCGTTTCCTTTTTTATTTGCCTTTAAAATTTATGCTTATGTGATTGTTTGTAGAAGCAAGACTATAAAATGGCTCTTCGGAAGTATCGGAAGGCCTTGCGCTATTTAGATGCGTGCTGGGAAAAGGAAGGGATCGATGAAGGGGGTGAGCAACGATGATATATAATGTTTCTTCGATTTTATGACTAACATTTATGGTTATAGATGTGTCAACATTGGTTTTGTGGTAGGAATTTTATTCATGATTTTGATTTTATTTTATTTCTAATTTAGTTTCGTTTATCTGTCAAGCAGATAAGAGTCTAGATTTGAGGAAGATGAAGGCACAGATATTCACCAACAGTTCTGTGAGTTCCTATTTTGATTGTCGTTACTTATGCTGACTTCTTGATTTTTCTTGTAGTCGTATCCAGTTAAGATAATACTATTTAATATTTCGAATGGATAACTTGCTTCTTGTCTTGACGATGGAGATGTAATCGTTTATCTGAATCGTTCATATTATATCTTTGCTCTACGGATTTCTGTTGTTTCAATAAGAGAATGTGGGCAAAACTGTTCTTATACGAACGGTGAGGCATTTGTATGGTTTGTGCTTTTATCAGGGCATTCTCCTTCGTGTGTCTGTATCGTTATTGTCGGGCCTTATTTATTGCATATTGCTACTGTAATTGGTAGTTGTAATCATATCCTTATTTTGTTTTCCTGGCATACCCCTGTAGGAATTGAATATAATTTGTGTTTTGCATTTATAGTGAAGTGGTTGCGACTGTGGTCTTTAATCAGTATTTGAGCAGGTTTTTATTAATTTAGTAATATATTTGTATTACTTTCTGTTTATTAAACCTTCTTTGGCGTCGACTTTCTAATTTAGCGACAATGATTGTTGTTTTGTTCTCAAATATTATAATATACATGCATCTTGGTCCTCCTTAATCACTTTTCTTGCAATTGTTTCCGTTACATTTTGACTATCTCTGCACACTACCTATAAAGTGAAGTGGTTATTTGGTAGACTATATTATGCATGCATATTTCTGCATGGTTTATACTTTCAAAGATCATGCTTTCAGTCGTTGAGAAAAATTTAATTTTCAATTAATGAGATAACCTATCTATACTTTATAGGCTTGTAAACTGAAACTCGGAGATTTGAGGGGAGCACTTTTGGATACCGAGTTTGCAATGCGCGATGGTGAAAATAACGCAAAGGCATTGTTTCGTCAGGGCCAGGTTGTTTTCCTTTCCCTTCTTTTATTTCTCTTTTTCATGAACTAGATGAGACCATTGGATGCAATGCAATATCTTAGTCTTATAAATCTGCCTTACGTATAGATTAGATCAAACGCGTGCTCTATGGGTATTGGAACTTTTGACTTGATTGATAAACCCGACGCTTTAAATGCAAATGGTGCTTTAAATGCAAATGTCATTGGATTAAGAGATATTTGTTTATTTAGTGTAGGATGCTAAATTAGATGGCGTTGTTTATCTATGTAAGTGGCATCATAGGTTGCTATGTACCGAAAGGTCATTTTTATTTCTTTCTAATAATTGCCAATCATTAAGGAGAGATGACGATCTGGATATATATGGAATCTGTGTTTCTTCACTCCCCTTTTATTAGTAAGATTTTAATTTTCATGCATTTATTTAGTAAGATTCTACCAATAACTGGACTGTCTTTAAATAGACGACGACAAAAAACTTGTAACAAAAATGTCTCAGGAAAGCGGCTGAGCAAAATAATATCTTAATCCGATACAAAATTGGAGATAGATCTAGGTTCTTAAAGAAAAAGAGTCTTCATTCGTGTTACTGCTTGAAGAATGCCTATTTGAAAATCACAATTGAGTTTGACGAATATTTTCAAGTGGTAGATATATTTTGCTGAATGGTTTTGATGAACTACTAGATTATTCATTTCCTCGTGCTAGTTTTTTGAGATATTGACGGTGATTTGGAAATCTTGTCCAACTTTATAGCTTGATGCCTGGCTGCCTGCAGCTTAAAACATAATTAAACTTGCTTTGGGGGATTTTTCTGTTGTCTCCTTAGATAATGTTTGTCTAATATTTCAGTCATGTTTAGTTGTTAATAGTTGAGAGAGAGACTGATATAAAACAGTCATTGTTGTTTAGAAGCCTTTAATACATGCTAAACACCTATTAGATGCTCATATAAGATATTTGAGATTATGTAATGAATTTTGCATATTCCATTATTTATTTTCTTGTTAGCTAAGTTCTTGGATCACCCTCTTTTTTGGGATACTTCACAAACATATATGCTTGCATCTTTTTCAACAATTGTGAAACTGACGCTCGTACTGAAATGACCAGGCGCACATGGCTCTTAATGATATTGATTCTGCTGTAGAGAGTTTCAAGAAAGCATTTGAATTGGAACCAAATGATGGTTAGTAGCATCTCTGTGTGTGTGTGTGTGTGTGTGTGTGTGTGTGTGTGTGTGTGCATTTTATGCCCCCTTTCATACTACAGAAAATTGGAAAAAGAAGAAGAGGAATTTAGCACGGCTAGCTTAAAAATGTTTAGATGTCCTCTTCCTTTAATTGTAATTTAAGGTTGAATAGTCGATGACAGTACAAGCAGCAAATAAATTTACATATATGCTTCGTCTGGACTTTTCTGGAATGATTTTATCTGATTTTTTGCTGTTTTTAATTTTTTTTCCAAAGGAGCAATAAAGAAAGAGTTCACTGCTGTAAAGAAGAAGGTAATAATTTATTTTTCTCGTCAATAAAATGTCTCCTGCACTTATGCACCCCTTGTATGTAACTGTATATATGTCTTCTTGGTTTTCTTTAATAGATTGCTGATAGACGCAACGTGGAGAAGAAGGCGTATTCCAAGATGTTCCAATAGTCGTTGAGTAAGGTACATATCTGCCTTAGTTTTGCCAAGTCAAATCAGAATGATTTTATTTTATTTTAATTTAAAAAAAAAATTATTTAAATACCCGTTTCTGAGTTGTCGATGTTCACTTCTTTGGTAATTCTCAGGTTCGTTGGTTCAGGCCAGTTTTTTGTCGTGCGCAAATCACTGAAGGGGTTATAAGTAGTAGTAATTGAACTATTTACAGATGATCAACTTTTGTTTGGAGAAGAAACTGATAACTGAGAGTAGGTATAATCGAGTTTTATTTTATTTCTTTTATTCATCGCAAAGTATTCACTATAACTATAATGTTTTGAATTCACTATACAATTTTTCGTCATTTCTGTTATATGATTGGAATTCGAAAATTTCCAGGTTCTCAAGATGACGAGATTCTTGATGCTGCTCTCCCCCTTCTGCGTAAATAACACTGTAAAAAAGTTACGCCTGGACCAATTTTGTAAGCGAAAACTTGTCGGACCTAAAGAGTAAAAAAAATATATATTTTCCTGTGCTGTAGCAAATCCGTACGTCACTTTTTTCGGCTTTGCTTCTCCGCTTGAACTGATAAAAAAAACAACACTTGAACTGTATGATCCTGATTTTTCGGCCAAGAACTTTAGATTTTTGTGGCTGAAGAAAATTTTGAATTGATCTAATTCTGAATGCTTTTTTTTCTCTTTTTGTTTATTTATTATTATTATTATTTTTTTAAGTGACTCAAATCTAATCAACTAGAATCAGGATTAATTATATCTCCATGCTAGGGCAGTAGTTCGAAAATTTTGAATACGAGCTCAAATTACTAAGCTCGTATTTTAAGTATAACTGTTTTAATTTTTTTTTACTGTGCAAAATTTGTTCACATCTCTAATTGATATAAACTCACAGTAACAACATGCAATTTAGTGTTAAAATACGTAGTTATGAGGTCATAATGACATCATCATTCAATGGTAGATTGCAAAATGCGAATTAAACCTAATTTGCCAACAGCAAAATTGTGCACTTCGATTTTCTGGTGGAATCCCACGATTAATTAGCAAATTCTTAATTCCTTCCTCCCTAGTGAATAATGATGTATTTACTGCCTCATTTGACTAATTCCCAGTTGAAAATCTAGACTTTTAAAAGGCTAATTAGCAATTAATAAATCCATACGTTGACTTAGAGAGTCAAAATGTAATCATAAAAATGAAAATCCCATGCGCCCGAAGTTAGGATTTTGTAGATGCTACACCCGGTGAAATTCACTGGGTGATCTAAAATCACTGATCTACACGTATGTGTGTTTAGTGAGTGATTATTACATAGATCTATGGTTCAAAATCACCCAATGTGTTACACTAAGTGTAGCATCTCATAGTCCCGGAAGTTGCTTCAGTTTGATCTTTGTGTTGGTTTATTGTGTTCGACATTTACTATTCACTCTAATTATCAAAAAAAAAAAAAAAAAAAAAAAACCTTGCATTATTGTTATTAGCCTTAAGTTACTTAAGATTCATTCTTTTTAGCAAATTATTTCATGTAAAACTCATCATTTACAGAGTTGTGTGGTAAAACAAAATGCATAATTAGAGATTTTTTTTCGCTAATATTAATAGTATGAGAGGTTTTAGCACTTCGAAATAACGCATTCTGTAGAAAATTCATTCATCTTTTTCACTTATATCCCTCGCAGTAATTTTATTTACATATACTAACTTCCGATTAAATGGGTGTTTCCTTAATTTGAGCTGCATGTTTTGTCTGTATTATTCTATTTTTGATAGATTTAATTTTTTGACAGTTGATATTTTCAGCTATTTTTCAAGTCGTAGTATTTTGATTTTTGCCTGAAACTATTTATGTATTCATTGATTTTTGATTTATAGACAAGTTGGAGGGATCAACCAACCCACACCCTCATTTGATGTCGTTTTTCTTAAAGAAAACAATAATTAAAAGAGTGTTTCCATCACTACAAGCTTATAAAAAAATTAGCTTTTAAATTAATGACTATAACCAAATACCAAATCACTCAAAAAAAAAAAATAAAAAAATAAATAAGTGGAAGACCTTGAAATAGAAAAAATATAGACCCAATAAAAAATTTTCACACCTTAATTTTCCAATGCAATTTTACCAAACAAAAAAAGAAAAAGAAAAAAGTTCATCCTTGTTTGACCTATTGGAATTTCCAAACATTGCATGGTTTTTCCTACTCAATACACTCAAACGTAGTTTCTATATAAACCCTATTTCCTCTCCTTTTAGAACACCATCAATACAACAAACTTAGCTACTAGCTAATAAACACTCTTCTTATAATTAATTTGCAATTCAGAAAAAATGGGTGTGAAATGTGGAGGAGCCCTTTTCGTTCTCGTGGCAATGTCGGTTTTGGCCATTGCTACCGCGAACAAGGATTGGTGGGGTAATGTTACAGGAAATTGGAACCAAACAGGACGTGATTTTTGGGATTCATGGCACAAAAATGCGACTCAGAGATCCAACAGAATCATTGTCGGTGGATCAGAGAACTGGCGTTACGGCTTCAATTACACCGATTGGGCCATTAAGAACGGACCCTTTTACTTGAACGACACACTAGGTATGCTTTAAATCTTGTAATTTTGTCCATCGTTTATTTAGGATTAAATCATAGTCCACACACATATGTGTGTGTATATATATATACACGTAACTTTAATCGATGTGTTGATCATATGCAGTGTTTAAGTACGATCCACCAAATGACACCACATTCCCACACAGTGTATATTTGCTACCAAATTTCCGGAGTTTCCTGAAGTGCGACCTTAGAAGAGCAAAAATAATCGGAAAAGCGACAGCTGGTGGAGGTAAAGGATTCGAGTTCGTGTTGAAGAGGTGGCAGCCGTATTTTTTCGCGTGTGGCGAACACAAGGGCATCCATTGCAAAGATGGCCTCATGAAATTTGCAGTTTGGCCCTTGATCCGTTGGTATAATTAAAAAAAAGGACAATTTTGTGGTGCTAAAAATAAATAAAGTAATTTGATTTTTACTATATATATATACCCGAAACCCGAGAACCGAAAAAGCGAATAATAATCAAGGGTGTGTACTTTTTTTATTTGGGGTGTGTACTTTTTTTATTCCTTCCATGTAGTAACAGAAGCTATTCTTGTAGGATCAATGTTATGTATTTTTGGAATTCAATAAATTTGTGACAAAATAATGTTTTTTTTCAGGAACTGTTTATTGATATTTCCTTTACATCATTAATATTCTAATAAAAAAATTAAAATTAATGGGCCTCGGCCTAAAATTAATAATATTCTTAAATCACAAAAAAGGGCCTTAAGCCCATATTTTAATTTATATTACCTCATTTGGGCCCATTTAAACTAATTAAGTTTAATTAAGGGCCCAATCTCATATGGTCTTGTATAAGCGTATAGATAATCCTAATGTCAAGAGTTTAGAGGTAATTTTTGTTTTATGTCGACACCAGGATCATCAGCTCTTTGTGATTGTAATCAAGAATAATGAAATTTTGAAGGAGCTTCTTTATAGTGTAGCAGAAAAGTGTGGAGTCACAGATCCAGATTTTTGTTAACAAAAAGAAATCGAACCTTCAAAATATGGTATGCAACGACTTTGAAATTGCAACAGTAGTTTGTTGAAGTTTCTCCTCCTTTTTCTTCCTCGATATTACGACCTTTCTCGTCCCTAGTTTCTCACGAGGATACATAATTTTGTGATTTACGGTGATTTCGAAATAAACGGATTCAAGTATAAAGTTGTTGTCCGAAAACGTTTTTTAAAAATACTTTCTTTGGTGGAAAACTATTGATTATACGTTAGGAGGGAAATAAATAAATAAATATGAATTAAAAACGTTTTCATTACAATACGATTTTACGAGCATTATCGTTTTTTTTAAGTGGAAATGAAGTGTAGTTGTAATTATGATATAAAGTGAGGGGCATTCCAAACATTTCAGGGCATAGAGATAGCTAATTGTAAGTGAAACTTAAAAGAGGAGAATATAGTGTTCAAAGTATAATATTGGGGACTCAACCGTATATGAAACTAGCAAAAAATGATTTAGGAGCTAAAAATCCCTGAATAAATATATGTATAAATAAAAATGTTTAATGAAATAAAAATTAAAAACTGTTTGAAACCTAGGCCTATGAAGGGTGATTTTCTCTTCCACAACGGAAAGGTTTTCATTTTCCCCAAAATGCCCCTCTACAAACTTTCACGGCGAGCTTTGCACACACGAAATCTCCCGCCCAAATCGGTAAATTCACAGCATCCGCCGCTGTTGCCGCCGCCGCCACTTTTCTCCTCACCGCCGGACACCGCCGTCGCCGACAAGGCCGTATCAATCCTCAAATACTACCACCACTCCCATCTCGACCATTTAACGCCGCAATTTACCCCTGAAACCACCTCCTATTTACTCCTCCAATCCCAGAATAACCAAACCCTAATCCTGAAATTCCTCAGCTGGGCTCGCAAATCGCCCTTCTTCAGAGACCAGCTTCAATCCAATTGCATCTCAATTCACATCCTCACCCGCTTCAAACTGTACAAGACCGCCCAATCATTGGCGGAGGAAGTTGCAGCGAGTTTTCCGGATCACGAAAACGGCGATGCGGTTTTTTCGTGTCTTAAAGACACGTACCAGGCGTGCCGATCGAGCTCCGCCGTGTTTGATTTGATGGTAAAAGCGTTATCGAATATGAAACTGATAGATAGAGCTCGAAACATTATGAGTTTAGCTAGATGCCATGGATTCATGCCTAGTGTTCTGTCGTATAACTCCGTTCTAGAGGCGATAGTACGGAGTTCTCCTCGCGGCTCTGCTGAGTTGACCGGGAGTGTGTACGATGAGATGATGGATAACGACGTCTCGCCTAATGTTTTTACTTACAATATATTGATTAGGGGGTTGTGTTCGAACAAAGAAATGGATAGAGGGTTGGTTTTATTCGAGAAAATGGAGAAGAAGGGCTGTTTACCGAATGTGGTTACGTATAATACCTTGATAGATGCGTATTGTAAAATGGGGAAAATCGATGAAGCGTATGCGTTATTGAAATTGATGTGGGAGAAGAATATGGAACCGAATGTGATCACTTACAATGTGATAATCAATGGGTTGTGTCGAGAAGGGAGGATGGAGGAGACAAAGAAGGTTTTCGAGGAAATGAAGGAACAGGGTTTGTCTCCGAATGAAATTACGTATAACACACTCATCAACGGGTACTGTAAAGAGGGAAACTTTCACCAAGCTCTTGTTTTACACGGGGAGATGGTGAGGAATGGGCTTTCTCCGAATGTGGTGACTTATACTTCTCTGATAAATAGTATGTGTAAATCGAAGAATTTGCGTCGTGCTGTGGAGTTCTTTGAGCAGATGCAGGTCAGGGGGTTGAGCCCAAACGATAAAACGTACACAACTCTGATCGATGGTTTCTCTCAGCAGGGATTTATGGATGAAGCTTACAGGCTTTTAAGTGAAATGACTAATAAGGGCTTGTTGCCATCCATTGTGACTTACAATGCATTGATCAATGGGCATTGTGTGTCGGGTAGAATCAACGATGGTTTAGAACTGATTAAAACTATGACTGCAGAAGGGTTTTGTCCGGATGTTGTAAGTTACAGTACAATCATATCTGGTTTCTGTAGAAATTTTGATTTAGATAAAGCATTCCAAATGAAAAGGGAGATGGGCGAGAAGGGAATTTTTCCCGATGCCATTACTTACTCATCGTTGATTCAAGGTCTATGTGCACAGAGAAGATTGACTGAAGCGTGTGAGTTATTTAAAGAAATGTTGAAGCTAGGTCTGCAGCCTGATAATTGTACGTATACTATTCTTATTAATGCTTATTGCGGCGAAGATGACATTGGAAGTGCAATTCGGCTCCACGATGAAATGATTGAAAAGGGTTTCTTCCCCGATGTTGTTACCTACAGTGTGTTGATAAACGGGCTAAACAAGCAGGCTCGAAGTAAGGAAGCAAAACGGATTCTTTTCAAGTTGTTCTACGAGCAATCTGTTCCGCATGATGTTACGTATGATTTGCTGATACAGAGTTGTAGTAATATTCAATTTCGGAATGTAGTAGCTCTTATAAAGGGGTTCTGCATGAAAGGTTTGATGAACGAAGCCGATCGAGTTTTTCAAGCAATGCTTGAGAAGAACCAAAAGCCTAGTGAGGCGGTTTATAATGTTCTGATACATGGTCACTGTAAAGATGGGAATTTGCAGAAAGCTGTCGATCTTTACAGGGAAATGATGCAACGTGAACTTGTTCCTCATGCTATAACTGTTATTGCTATAACTAAAGAACTTCACAAAGTGGGAATGACAGAGGAGCTGATGCAAATACTACAAGATACACTACGAAGCTGTAAAGTAGTTGATGGCGACCCTGCCAAAGTCCTTTTGGAGGTCAATTACAAAGATGGAAACATGGATGCCGTGTTTAATATTCTCGCGGAGATGGGCAAGGATGGATTTCTTCCAAATGAAGTAAGAACTGGTTAGGCATGTAGAAGAGCTCAGCTGATACCATTGAATATTAAGTTGTTCGTGTAATATTAAATTTGATATCGCATTTGGTTGATGGAGTGAAAACACTTTGGGCTTTGGAGTATCGGGCATGCTTTTGTTCTCATTGTTGGTGCTGTAATCAAGATGAATTTAAACACGATTCATTATGAAGCTGCTTGGTCATTCATGTTGGAATTACCGCAATCTTTTGGAGACTGGCTTAAAACCGTGGAAATTGGATGCCCTCGTCTAATTCGGATGAGGTAAAAAACTGCTTAGTTTTCTCAATAGAATAGTATGGCAATAAAGCGTTATTGCACTTGTTATAGCAAAACTATCTCATCGCGAAATGAATACCATGGGGGCTTCCGTATCAACCTGCTAATCTTTCTTATATTTGGTGCTGTGTAGGAATGTGTCTTCTGGACTGTCAGTTCATTGGTTAGTTGCATCATATTCAGGTGCACAGCTGTGGGGTTGTCCACTCATGTATGTGTTTCTGTCGTTGCAAGTAAGTTGAGCTATAACATTTATGCATGCAGAATCAAATTCTTTTGGTTTATGTGCAATGTTGGTTTGCATTCTGGTCAATCAAAGCCTTGTGTCCGGTTTCTCTCTCTATCTAAAAAAAAAATAACGACACGCTATTTTCTTTTTCCCAGGTAGAATACGTTCCACCTTCACGGGGGGCCCGTTTTCCCTATGTTTCCTGCCTGTGGAGTCTTCCAACTGCGATGCTTTAATTCTTTGAGGGTCCATGTGAGCTCCAGTTTCTGATATTTTACGAGAAAGGGGAATTATTTACGAAACTCCCGTTTTAGTCTTCACGTTGAGCCTTTTATTGATTATTTTGATCAGATGTAACTTTTTTTTTCCCGAAATGAGGACCAAACTTATAAGAAAGTAAATTAATGGAATTTTCAGTTCATTTCGACCTTCTTTAGATTTGTTATAGAAATGCACTACCTAAACCTTGGTACCCTTATTTAGTGTCATGAATTAATTTCTTGTGCAGTCAATATCTATCAACTTTTTGTCAGTGCTTCTAGTATATATACGAAAGTATCTTCCACTTCCTACGAAATTTTTATATCCTGGATTCTTTGATTGTGTAATAATTGAATATTTGAATGTGAAAGATTCAGAAGAAATTACGTTCTGAAGGTCCGAGTTCTCGGTGAGAACTTTCTATTCTCCAACCATTCTTCATTGGATTTTACGAAAACTGATGCCTTAATCCAAATATACATTTCACATTTTGCAGAATTATCTTTTTATTATATGAGTTGGTAAACAAGAAAATTTCGAGAGATTATGCTATTTGCTCCTGCTGTTGGATGCCATTTGCACATAAAGACGAAAAGGACAAACTGAGCAAAGAAGCAAAGGTATCTTTCTTTTCATTTTATTACTTTGTTGCTCGACTTAAAACTCGTGACTTATCACTCATTTGCCCCCAAGATTTACAGTATGAGATTTGAAACAGAACAAGTTAATAATGTAAACCCGATAAAATATGGCAGATTCATAGGAAAATTAGTTCTCCTTCATCTGTATTCATTTGTCGATAGAAAAGATGCATGTCTTTAATGTTTGAGTTGATAATTCTATAATTTTTGTGCATTACATCTTATATTGGAATGTTTGGTTTATTAACGATGGATGACACGATGCATTTATTTTGTGGCTTTGCTTTTTTGTTTACAAATGACCACAGTCAATTCGGACTCTGATAAAGAAAACAAACGCTTTGAGATAATTTTCCTACACTTCATATTTTGGTGTTAGTTGGAGGAAGTTTTCCCTCCAGAAAGGACGAAAAGAAGGTAAGAGCACGCTGAGGCTGATAACTCGGTACGAAATGTCCAGCTCCTCTTATGGTCACAAACGTAATATTCTGATATTCAACCGCATATCCTCCAACCTTCAATGAAAAATAATAATATGAAAACAAGATTAGCGTAAGATGAAAAATCGAGAAAATTATACCCCAAAAAAATGTTCAATTGTAACATACCTCGCCTTGGTTGTACCAGGGGTACCATGGAGTTTTTACTGCTGCCCCGAGTTTAGGCATAGAGTACCTAGTCGTCGTAACTGGCACCACACTATCTGTGTCTCCACTGTAAGTTCAGATTAAATTGTCATTTTTTTTCCCGGATAATGTAGTATTGTGCTAGTTTATATGACTTTACCTATATATCCAAACTCTAATGCCACTAGCCATCAACCGCTTGATGGTAGGTAATACTGTTAGTGGTGAGTCCTGCCAGTTGTTGCCTACGTAGTCGCTACAGCATCATAAAAACGAGCGAGTCGTAAGAAAATCTTCCACCTGAAAAAGAGTATTATGCGGTGAGGAGAAAGTAGTACCTGCACTCATCCCAAGGCTTCGGAATTCCAGCTACGTTAGCATGTAGCGCCTCTTGCACTTCACGAGTGTTTAAGTATGCGTAGGCGTAGTATCCCGAGCATGGATCAAATCCCGATATCTATCACAAGACATTATACACACACGATATGAGAGTCTAATTCTTTTTTTTTTATTGTGCAGGAATTATATGTATGATGAACAATGTACCGAAGGAGTGTTTGAGGATGTTGTAGAACATAAAGGGGCATAAATGTCATAGTCGAAGACATTCCCTTTAGCCTCTCTCGCCTGTTTTCTGAAACCACGGCAGAGTTCTGTTTGTGGGCCCCCCGAAGAAAAATTGCAGTTCTCGATAAGCCCTTTATGTATTTCGTCCGATATTAGAGCATGTGTCCAGTAATAGTCATACACCCCTTTGTTCTGATCCTCAATGTCAATATATGCATTGCCAATCTAACGATAGATACATATTTATTAGTGAATATATATACATATGTGTGTGTGTGTGTGAGTGTGTGTATATATATATATATATTTTATTAATTTATCAAAATAATACTCACAGCTATTCCTTTTAAGTTAATGACAGTTTTGTTTGCGATTTCGTTGTTTTTCAGGATTAGGTCAGCTAGCTGAGGCACATAATGACCGGCATAACTCTCTCCCGCGATGTAAAAGTCTCGATGTTTGTAGTCTGGAAATCTTTTCAACCAATTAACCAAAAAAGTGTAAGCATCTGCTGCTGTTTTTCTGTCTCCAGTAATGTAATCTGATGACGTATTGGAATAAGAAAATCCAACACCAGCCGGAGATTCCAAGAATATCACATTTGCCACTGCATTTTTTTTAATTACAACATAAGTATTTTAAGACAATATTTTTTTCTTTCTTTCAAGTTTTGTGAATTGATCACTTACGAATGTTCCATGAATTTTTGTTGTGCCAGAGAGTTTTGCCGTCTGGATTCACGCGAAAGGGGCCGAGTTCTGTCATTGCTCCAGCTCCTAAAGAAGAGCATCCAGGCCCTGCATTTCAAGGTAGGTCCGGTTTTTTAATCGAGGGTATATATAGACTAGAGGTGTAAATTGGAATGGAAATTTGAGTTCCGCCGATTTCAATCCGAATATTATTCGGTTTTGGATTCCGAATTCCGGAAATTCCAATTTCCGATTTCTGATTTTTTTTTCCGGAATGAAATTGGAATACACATTCAATTATGGATTTCAATCTGATTTTAATATCCGAGAATATTAAAAAAAAATATAGTTTTTTTTCTCCGAAAATTGCACTTATATTATCAATAGTGTTATTACAAGTGACTATAAAAATGGAAATTCCGAATCTCGCCGATTCCTATCCCAAAAAAACGATTTTGGAACAAGTTTTTCTATTCCAATTTCCAAAATTCGATTTTCGACTTTTTTGGAACAAAATTGGAAATAGTTTTTCACTTCCGAAAAAAAAAAAGGATTCCGCAAGTGTTATTTCCGATCTGATCCGCCCGATTTTTTACCTCTAGTAAGACTAAATTTATTATTACGCGTTCACATAAAGATCGTTAAATACTAACCTCCATTGAGCCACAAAACGAGAGGCTTAGTTGAAGATGAGTTTTCCGATTCAGCAAAATAGTAAAATAGTGCTCTTCCAGCACTTGCATCGACAGTCACATACCCTGAATACTGATCAAAACTCACTTCTGGTTGCCCTGGTAAACTCAATATCCTGTCAACTTCTTTATATCCCTCCTGATTTTCGACGTATATTGTCGAACGTTTGATCGAGAGGTTTTCATCGAGGTTGTTTAATGACGTTTTTGCCCTTTGGACTTCAACGAATTCTCCGAGAGGATCGAATCCTCTCCCACCGTAGCATTGTGCTGAAACTGCTAACGAGCACAATACAAGAGAAACGAGAAGACAATTACCTGCACCACTCATCTTTTTCCGATGATTTTCGGACCTTTGTTTTTCTTGTTTCTTTTATATATAGATTTTGTAATGTGGAACGTTGCAATTGTTTGTTCTTGTTTGGACTGAACTTACAATTGTGTTTGATGGTATTCACTATGTCTTAGTAGGACTAAATTAATGTTTTTATTTTGTAGATAACTTTGGGATCATAACTTTTAGGGTAAATTATGGTCACTCCCTGAAGTAAGGTCTAATTACGAAAATCTCCTCATGTTTGGGTAATTATAACCACCTTCAACTATGAAGATATTCTTCTCAAAAAAAAAAAAACTATGTCAAATTCAACATAATCTTCTAGATTCCGTGGAATGTTCTCTAGTTTGTACTCGTTTTGTGCAAAAATGCAGCTTTTGATGCACCACAATCTGATATTTATAATAGACGCATCTTATGATCATCTTGATTCGAAATGTGGAGCCTCGAATGGGGGTAAAACATGCACATACTGGAGAATATTCCACATAATTTAAAAGATTTTACTAAATTTGATATTCGTTTTACATTATTAGAATGGGACGGCCAAAAAACAGAACTACTACACTATTCAATGAATGTAACACAAACGAACCAATTAAATTACAATCAATGATTAGTATTAATTATTTATTATTCCCATTCAAACTTCTTTCTAGTGTCGTACGACAACTACTCAACATAGTTAAACGACTTGACGAAATCAACAACCATGACCAAAACGGCGTCGTATTAAGAGTTTAACACAGATTCGAATTTCTCCGTACCAAAACTCTCGCATCATAGACAGGGACTCTCTCTCTCTCTCTAGATTATTTAATACAGAGGAGAGAGAGAGATAGAGACGAGAGAGAAAGAGAGAGAGGAATCGGCAAGCAGCATCAGAAAGGGAGCGTGGCAACGGTGTGCGTAATCAATTAATCATAACTCGAAAATTATTGTTCTTCACGAGATAAAGCTCAGACGCATTTGTGTTTCTCTCTCTACCTATACATACATCTATACATACATACATACCTACGCCGCTGCATGTAGTATTTACAGGCGTAGGATGAACGAAGCTAAGAAGAAGAAAAGGGTAAAGAAGGCTTGATCTCAGCTTCCCCTTGAAAAAACAACCATGGCGGACGATCTCTGTTTCTTCACCAAGGTACGCGTCTCCTTTTTTCGCCCAATTTTGTATTTTTTTCTGATTTTTTTGTGTGGTGAAATTCGTCCTTTTTATTGTTGTTGGGCGCAATTTGGAGTGCCCTATTTGTATGTAGATTTCCATTTTTGCATCTCTGATGTAATTAAATTTGAATGACAATTGTAAGCCCTAATTATTCATCAATGAAATTAATTCCCAAATTATTTATTTATTTTTTTTAATCTCGGACAGTATTGAAGCTCAATTAAGCTGAATATATTGTGTTTTACAGGAGTTTGAGAGCTGTGAATGCGATTGATTAATGGTATGCTTTTATTGTTAATTGACGTTATGATATTTTGATTTAATTTCAGGAAAGCTTTATAATTAAACCACCTAAGAAGAACCCCCTGGTTTTGAAAATGGCGGTTTTGATTTTCGTAATGGTTTGCGGAATTTATGTATGTTCGACTCGTATTAAGCGAATCGGTGGACAATCGAGCTTCAGTACATTAAACATTCAAGTTATAGAAAAGAAACCTTGTGAAGCAGCCATTGATATACAACCTTCAGAAAAACCTTATTTGCATTTCCCCAAACCAAAGACTTTCGACAGGTAAACGGGATTATAATTATTCTTTAAATTAAAGGCACTATGTAGTTTATTGATTTTATTTATTTGTTTATTTATTATTATTTGGGATTAATTAGGGACGAATGTGCTTGCAATCCTGTGAGATATTTTGCGATTTTGTCAACACAAAGGTCTGGGAGTGGATGGTTTGAGACATTGTTGAACAGTCATATTAATATAAGCTCTAATGGGGAGATATTTTCGGTGAAGGTTCGGAGAAGTAATATATCGACAATTGTAGAAACTTTGGATAGAATTTATAATCTTGACTGGTTTACGAGTGCCTCGAAGAATGAATGCACAGCTGCCGTTGGATTGAAATGGATGCTTAACCAGGTGAGATATTTATAGTTTAGAACAATATATACGTATTTTTTTTTGTCCGGATTATGAACAGGCTGGTATTAATCGAAACATCTTCTTTTGACAACGCTAGATCTTGAAATAGGTTATTAGGCTTTTATATGCTTTTTAGTGTGCGGAAGATTCTTCAACTTTTTAGAGTGAAATTATCCATTCTATAAAATATGATGATTATGCAATGTTGTGTGTATGCTTAGGCCTCGTTTGGTTGGTAAGATTAACCTGATAAATCAAATAATTGGACCTTTTTAGGAGTTTGGTTAGTCCAATAACTTTTCGGGCTGGACCGCAAATTTGTTGGATCACCCATGGTCCAACAATATAATGGGTTTTCATTAGATTGTTTAATTTTGTCTCGGCTAATCTTATCTTAGCTAATTTTGTCTTAGGAACCAAACGAGGACTTAATGTTTAAGTCCCAAATGTTTTTGTGGTTTGTATGATATGTTTTATTTCATTGGGTCGATTCTCAGCTACACGAGAAGATCGGTAAAATGGTGTCTCTAAGTAATTTGTGTAAAGGGAAAACACGAGGCTCTAAGATCAATCTTAGTTCCAATTTTTCTATTTAATAATTGATAAAATAATGTTCATCAAATTAACTGCCAGGCAGAATCAAAATCTTAAATTTTCTTTCGTTATTTTTTATTTGGTACGATAGTTTTGGCTGAGGAGTTCAACACATCCAAAGAAAACGTGCATCAAAATGGAGTGGTAAAGGAGAAATAAAACTGGATAATTCGTAAAATCTTGATATAAAGAAATCTTGTTGGTTAATCAAGCTCATTTTGCATTGTTAATAGTCGTCTTTTGATTTTGAACATTATTTCATTGATTGTCTAACAGATAATGTATTTTTTTCCATGTATACTCTCGTAATCGCTATAAACTTAAAAGAATCAATTAAGCAAGTCCTTTTTATTTATTCCAATTTTGTTGCAGGGATTAATGCAACATCACGAAGAAATAGTGGAGTACTTCAAGACTAAGGGCGTATCAGCCATTTTTCTTTTCAGAAGAAATCTTTTACGTCGTATGGTTTCGATACTCGCAAATTCGTACGACCAAAATGCCAAGCCGCTTAATGGGACCCATAAATCTCATGTCCACTCAACCCACGAGGTATATATATATATAATGTATGTATGTATACATGTCCATGTGTATGTGTGTACACAAGACCTAAAGTTACTTAACTGCTGCAGGCTGAAATACTTGCCAAGTACAAACCAACTATCAATACAACACTGCTAATACCGAATCTGAAACAAGTAGAAGATTTGGTCACAAAATCCATGCAATATTTCAAGAGCACTCGCCACATCATCCTCTACTACGAGGACATAATAAATAACCATACAGTAAGCCATTTTCTACATTTCATAAAATCCTACAGTTCCGTGCAGTTTCAACCTTATTTTTTTTTCGATTTGAAGAAATTGTTGGAAGTTCAAGAGTTCTTGAAGGTCCCACAAAGAGACTTGAATAGTCGGCAAGTGAAAATACATAAAGGGGCGTTATCGTCACAAGTTGAAAACTGGGAGGATGTGAAGAAGACACTGAAGAAAACACGGTACGAAAGTTTTCTTCAAGAAGATTATAAGTTGTAAATGGCGAATTTTGCTCATTGTGTTAGTGTATAGCACAGCATGTTTTTTAGGTTTTAGTTTTTAACTTAATTTATTCGATTTAATTAATTCTTTAATTAGCAGATATAATATAACAGGGCATCTCATCTCATCTCCCTGTTGAAATTTTGGTATTACTGTTGATATTTGGTGTGGCTCAAAACATGCTGATTATGATGTAATTGTGTAGCTTCATCCGAATAGTGTTAAACAGACCGTCTAGATATTATCGGTAAATTACGGCTACCCCTGAGGGAAGGTCAAATTACGAAAAAAACCCTCATGTTTGGATAGTTACAATTATTCCCTCAACTATAAATCTTCTTACACGTCCACCCTTATGGTTTTAGATTCAACAAAATCTTCTAGTTTCCATGGAATATTCTCTAGTTTGTACTCGATTTGTGAAAACCGGAGAATATTCCACATAATCTAGAAGATTCTATTAAATTTGACACATCAAGGGTGGACGTGTTAGAAAACTCATAGTTGAGGAGTAGTTGTAATTACTTAAACATGAGGGTTTTTTTTGTAAATTTTCTTACCTCGGGGTGGCCGTAATTTACCCTAATAAAATATTGGTGGAATATATCCTAATAGAATTATAGATAATTAATTGCTAAATAGTTATTTTAGATAAAACTATAATTTATTTGCTAAGTTTAGACACACATGATTAATCGAATAGATGTCTATTTATTTTGTGATGACAGAGTTTGGTAATGATGTGTGTCTTTTGTTCAAACTTCAAATGAATTATTGTCTTATTGAATTTTATTGCACCTTTTTTTCATGATAAATGATTGAATATCATCAGGCAAATGTTGAATTATATATTATATCTCCATAAATAGCAATTGTCTTTCCTGACATAAACTCAACTTTTTATTGCCTTTCATCAAATTAAGTTGTTTGATAAACAATTATTGAGAAAAGTTATCTATAAATTATTATCACAAGTAAAGAAATATTATGATGATGATTATTCTGACTTATTAGTCGGTCATTGAGATTCTACACCTGGTTAAACACACGAGATAATTTTCAATAATATTTCACTCGACAACAAAAGCATTTGGGGAGAATGTTAAATGTTGTTTCAATTTTGCTACTTACCGTTTTAACTTGAGACGTGTTGTTGACCAGTTTTCAGTATGATTTTGGCAAAATTTAAAACACGGAAACTGTAGTACTTTATGCATGAATAAATTACATTTTAAATTTTCGATAACTAGCATTAAAATTGAATCAAATTGCGTTAGAAAGTTTACTCATAAAATTACTAAATCCAATGTTTTTAATTTCGACAACCCTAAAAAATGATCGCGTTTCAATTTGAAACAAGTATTATTAAAACTAAAACGACATTTTATCTGCTGCACATTCAAAATGAAAATATGAATAACTCCATCAAATAATATAAATTGATGGTTTGAGAATTAATTTTATATATTACGTGATAAATAATATTTAAAAGAAAAAGGAAAAAAAAAAAAGAAAAGGAAAAAGACATTTACTGCAAATTTCTGCTGTACACCAGCCACACCAAAAATATCGAACCAACAATATCCAGCCGTCAGTTCCCAAAACCAGCAAGCTACGGTCAGATCTGAAAACACAAGTGGGGCCCACACTTCACCACCGCGTAATAACTGGACCCACCGCTTACAACTCTTCCAGATCGACGGTCCAGATCAACTCTCACTATTCACCGACGGTGTGGATTCAAACGTTGAAATCCCCTTTAGATCCGTCCCTCTTGCCCCTCCCCATTTTATCATCAGCCGTCTTCTCAGAATCTCTCTCTCTCTTTCTCTCTCTTCTTTCTCTCTCTCTCTCTCCTCTGAAATCTGGTTTCTAGGATCAGATAGAGATATACCTACACCTACACACACGCACTCGCGAGAAAAATTTCGAACTCGGAGTGAGGGAGAGAGAGAGAGAAAATGAACGGCGGAGATTTGAATCAGCAGCAACAACAACAGCAACAACAACAGCAGCAGCAGATTCAGCACCAGCAATGGTTGGCGATGCAGCAGTACCAGCAGCAGTGGCTGGCTATGCAGCAGCAGCAGCAGATGATGTACAACCAGCATTACGTGCCGTACTACCACCAGCAGCAGCCGCAAGTTCAGCCGCCGAAGCAGAATAGTCAGATTCAGAACTCCGGCGAAGATAACAAGACGATCTGGATCGGAGATCTACAGCAGTGGATGGACGAAGGCTATCTCCAAACTTGTTTTTCCCCATCCGGAGAGGTATAAATTGTTTTTTTTGGTTTTTTTTTCTTAGGTTATTTACGAATAATTTTATGTATAATAAATATTTGTTTTGGCAATGTGTGTTTAGCGTGGAGATTCATTGTTGAGTGGGTAGTAATTAGTGTTGTCAATTTAGGGCTAATTGCGTGTTTTGGCCGTAGGATTTGGAAAATAACTTGATTGAAGTAAATGCCTGAATTTCCTGTGCAATTTGGTTGATCTGTGTATTTAGTCTTGGGAGATTCTGCTTTGTGTAATCTGCTATGTGCTTTTCTTTCGTCAATCACGTTGGTACTGACTTCAGGACCGAAATCTCGGAAAGAGTTTCAAAATCTGCTTTGTGTTTAGTGACCTCGATTCTTTCTTTAATTTGTTTTTCATGGTTTGATGTTTCTGAATGCATAAATGTATTAGCTAAGCTAAATACATGTTGTGCTAACTCATGGCACTATCGTATTTGAAAGTGCCTACCTTGAATGGGTAAACGAGAAGATTGAATGGATAAATTATCAATTGTTAGAATACAAGGAGCCATCTTTATGTATGAAAAATCCGTACTTGACTGCTTACATGAGCATTAGAGAGTTCAATTTGAAGAAAAAACCCGAAGATTTAATAATTATGCTGCGAGTTTTGCATTATTTTCTTTTGATTCTCTCTGTATGTTTTGGATATTATTACCTTTTTGCAACAGTTATGATTTTTTGATACGACTGGTGTATTTGATAGCTTTTGACATCCATATATGCAGGTCCATTCTGTTAAGATAATCCGCAATAAACATACTGGTCAATCAGAGCGATATGGATTCATTGAGTTCGTTTCTCATTCAGTAGCGGAGAAAGCTCTGCAGAGCTACAATGGCACCGCGATGCCCAATTCAGATCAATTCTTCCGCTTAAACTGGGCAGCCTTTAGCGCCGGTGATAGGCGCCCTGAATCTGGTTCTGATTTGTCGGTTTTTGTTGGAGATTTAGCTACTGATGTTACTGATGATCTCTTACATGATACCTTCGCTAGTAGGTACCCATCTGTCAAAGGGGCAAAAGTGGTAATTGATCCCAACAATGGCCGCTCGAAAGGTTATGGATTTGTCAGGTTTGGTGATGAAAATGAGAAGTCTAGAGCCATGACTGAGATGAATGGTGTGTACTGCTCTAGTAGGCCTATGCGAATAGGTGTTGCCACCCCTAAAAGACCTTCACCACAGCAATATTCTTCACAAGGTACAGTATCATATTCCTATGATTTTGTTTCCTGAAAATTTTCCATTATTTACATCCGTGACAGTTTTTCGGCATGAATATACTAACATGTAACATGTATGTATCGTGTTCCATGATTTGTTGCGATCCATTTCACTCTATGTTCCTAAGTATTTGGCTGGTTTAAACTGATCAAAGTTCTTTCGTGGCTTACTGTACTAATTTGCTTCATGATTATATATATCCCTCTGTTTGTGACGATCCTTATCAATATGCACGTTCTATATTCTGCTCCATAATGTGCATGTTTGTGTGTTTTATATAATTATATTAAGCAAATAGAACAATTATTGAATTACGTACTGTATGTACATGACATGAACTTAATTAATCTTCTCTGTTAATATGTAATTGATTTTCTTTCTTGTGAAAGAGTAAATGAGAATGCAAAGCCTTTTATCCTCCACTTGTCGTTACTATTATCTACTTCCGAAATTATATACAGCATCCAAGTTTTCCTAATTTAGTCTTTCCACCATGCTCTCGTCCTTCTTCTGATTCAAATTAATAAGACGTCTTCTTTATGGAGTCATATTATATGTGCTATTGATTGATTTTTTCGACATTTGTTCAACAAATATTACTTATTTTCTTACTGTGGTCTTGGCTTATGGATATGTATCAAATGTTGCTGTGCTCTTAGGTCAGTCAGAGAACGATTCATCTAACACAACAGTAAGTCCATTTTCCGTTCTAGAAGTTGGTTATCAGAACTTTCATATTATTTATTATTATTAATAACCCGATTCTTCTGTATTTGTTTAGATATTTGTGGGAGGGCTTGACTCTGATGTCACTGATGAAGATCTCAGAGAGTCTTTCATTCCATTTGGCGAGGTTGTCTCTGTCAAAATACCATCTGGAAAGGGATGTGGGTTTGTACAATTTGCAAACAGGTAACTAACTATTTGTTGTCATTTGTTAGTGAAAATAAGAACAATCATCATTCTTATGAAATAATAATAAAAAAAAAAGGGATTGCTTATTTTCAAGTGCAATGTGTCACCTAATGAGAGGGTATTTGTGTTTTTGAATTTGCCGAGAACATTTGACCTTTCTTTTTGCAAGATGCATTCTTGCATCCAAAGAAGTGGAGTATCAAAATGCCAATCCATTTTGATGATTTCACTAAAGAAGAAATTCTGAGATTTGGAATATCAAAATAGTAGTTGGGTCATTTCATCACTCAGTTGATGCTCCTCATTGGAGCATCAAAATGGGTTATCAAATGACCCAACCGCCATTTTCATGCTCAAAGTTTTAAAATCTCTACACCAATGAAGTCATCAAAATGCGTTGCATTCTAAGTTCCACCTCCTTGGATGTAAAAATGCATCCTAGAGAAAAAGAAGGCATCAAATGTGAGTTTGAACTTGCGAATTCAACACCCATTTACAAGTGGACGTGTGGCAATTAAATAATAAACTGGAAGATTTGTAACTGTGAACATATACGAATTTGTGAACTACTTTCTATCAAGTATGAGGTGAACGATTGAAAAAATATTATCCGTCTTGGCTTAAATGCTCAAGATTCATGGTTTTAATGCGACCATGGCATAACCCATTCAATTTTCCGTTCAACAGAAACAGTGCGGAGGATGCAATCCAAAGATTAAACGGGGCAGTTATTGGCAAGCAGACCGTTCGTCTTTCTTGGGGTCGAAGTCTGGGTAACAGACAGGTAAAAACTCTCGACTTATTAACTTGAAGTTTTTTTTTCTTGGACAATTGCTTATAATGTTAATTAAAAGGTGCTGGGCTTTATAATAAATAGGTCCTTATATCTTGATGGCTTTAATCAATCTCTTAAGGTCTTGTTTGGGAATAAGAATAGAACTTGAATAGATAGTATAAACAAGGTTTATCAAATGTCTGGGGTTTATATCTGTAGCTCATTATTAAAAACGGACACGTAATTTAATCAAGCATATGAATGACATTGAGTCCAACCTTAACCCGCTACTATATTTACACAATCTTATGCATGCAAGAATTATATTCCCAAACAAGGCCTAAGAGTTTGGAACCATTAGCCAAAAAGAAGATAACCGAGTTCAGTAGTATAAGTACCTGAATTATATGCTAGACCAACTAATACCTTAGGGCCTCGTTTGGTTGCCGAAATAGGATTAGGTAAGATAATATTATGTACTCTTATGATAACCCAGTTGTATAGGGGATCAGTTCAATATATAATTCATCAATAAACCAATCAAGATAAATTTTTTTCCCTTAATTTTGAGACGTTCCAAAAAGTTATCGAACTAATCAAATATCAAATAAAGTCCAATTATTTAATTAATCGTGATTCTCTTACCAACCAAACAAGATCTAAAGAGAAAGTTGAACCTTTGTTTCCTCAAAATATGATCAACAGAAACTATGGAGATTTGTACTTTACCGAGTATGCTGTCTTTTTTCTTCACGCCCGTTATTAAATAATCAATCTGATTATTAATAAACTATCTCTTGAATCAGTGGAATGGGAATTATAACGGAAGGCAAGGTTACGGTGGATACGGAAACGCTGGTGCAGCGGCTTATGGCGCGTCTTCAAACGGTTATGGCAACCATGAGCAGTAGTTGCGGTAAGTTAAATCTCCAAAGCTCTATGTGTTGAGCTTTAATTACTATTAGTGACTTGAAATGAAACTTTAAATTCTGTAGTCTGTGACATGATCAGTATTGTAGCTGGATTGATTATCACTTTAGACGAGACTTTTTTTAATTTCTTTTTTTTTTTCTTTTTTTTTTAATGGGATTAAGATTCGAAATTTTGACTTTGAAGAGCTTGCGTGATTTTTTTTCAATTCTTGCTAATTATTCGTTCTTTTTAGGTTTCGTTATGCTAACTTGTTACATACCGGTTTGGTGTATTTGGTGTATTATATTTCTGACGGACTTTCCCTTTAATCACATTTCGGTTTGTTTGAGGGAATTAAGCGCTGAAATGCTGAATAAATATGATTTAGATAGGTATACTTGGGTATATACACGATTAGTCGTTCAATGATGAATGTTAATCGACACTCCAAATCTCGTACGTTCATCGACAGTTTCTGGTGTTGGATTGATTTTCTTCGTGGACAGAGAGCCCTTTTCAAGTATTATTTCCAAAATGGAAGAAATAGAAGTTAACTGTAGCTGAAAATCTTTATGGTTTTGAGAAACACCGATATCGTCGATGCATAATAACCCCGAGGGAAATTTCTCAAAATCATTTAATTGAATAACAAATGAACGTTTTATGCAAAGAAGCAATAAATTTGGAAGTGATTTCTATTATGTGGCTAGAAAATGAAGAAAAAAAAAAATCAAACCTTGTTTCTTCTTGTTCGTCATTCTTCGAAAATGGTTCTTTCCTATTTTTCTTTTGCTTTATTCTTTTTCTACGCCGTTTCTTACTTTTCTTTGTCCTTGTTTGCTTTGTTTGTATTGATTGTATTGATTCAGGAGTTTTTTTTTGCTTACGCCTTTCTTTCTTCCTTTTCCATTCGTTTTTTTACAGAAAAATAACTAATAGTTGAGTTTTGAATCGTAACGGCAAGAGAAAGAGAAAAAGAGGAGAGAGGAAGTAAAATGGAAGAGAAAAAAATAAATAATTAAACAATTTAGGGTCTAAATTGCATCTAAAACATCTGAATTAGAGATTGATAAGCATATAAAACATAGGTAAATTCCATTTTCCTCCATTGTATTCTGGTTTGATATCACTTTACTTCCTTTTATTCTCGATTGCATCGATTTGTCCCCATCTACTTGAAAAATTATCTCAATGTGACCCTCACCGTTAGTTTTCGGATATTTGACTTTAACACCGTTTGATCTAAGTCTGAGAATTACAAAAAAAACACCCCTCCCAATCTAAATAATTATTAAAATAAAAAAGTAAATTGTGGCTGTTTTCGTTGACTATGCTTTCTTGTTGTCTTAAATTTATAATAATTTTTTTTAATAATTATTTAAAGTGGGAGGGGTGGCGTTTTTGTAATTTCAGAACTTAGGTTAAACGTCGTTAAGACCAAATGTCTGACAACTAACAATGAGGGCAACATTGAGACATTTTTTCAAATACAGATTAATACAACCAAGAGTAGGAGGGGGGTAAAATGATACTAAACCAAAGTACAAGGGAAAAAATGGAATTTACCATAAAACATATATAGAAACTTATCCACACTTTGAAATTTGCAAAATGAATGAATGTGCAATTACCCCAAATTGTAAAGAATCATGGTTATTTTGGAATAAAATTCAATACTCCAATATGACTTATCCAATTCCTGCCTCTCACTAATTTTATGTCTCCTCTCTCTCTCTCTCTTCTTTCTCTCTCTAAAACACTGCAATAAGCCATGTTCTTCTTGCTACTAATCCTCGCCTTTTCCCATTCATTCCACCGAAGCAACCGCCGCCGCCGCCGGAAACTCCACCGAAGAAGCCATCCTCTACGACATTTACCCCTTCATTAGAGTGTACAAAGACGGCAGAGTACAAAGATTCATCGGCCAAGATTTCTCTCCGCCCTCAACCGATCCTGCCACCGCCGTCCGCTCCAAAGACGTCGTCTTTTCAACAAACCCCAACCTCTCCGCCAGGCTCTACCTCCCCGCCGCCGCCTTCTCCTCCAACAAGAAAAAACTCCCGCTCCTCATCTACTTCCACGGCGGCGGGTTCTTCACGGAATCCGCCTTCTCCCCCACCTACCACCGCCACCTGAACTCCCTCGTCGCCAAATCCAACATCGCCGCCGTGTCGGTCAACTACAGGCTCGCCCCGGAGCACCCCCTCCCCGCCGCCTACCAAGACTCATGGCTGGCGCTCAACTGGACACTCTCCCACTCCGCCGCCGGCGCCGCCGCCGAACCCTGGCTCAACAACCACGCCGACTTCCAACGCGTCTACTTGGGCGGAGACAGCGCCGGCGGCAACATAGCACACCACATCTCCACCCGGGTCGGGTCGGAGAACCCATACCCGAACGTGAAATTCGGCGGCATGTTCCTAAACTGCCCTTACTTCCTGGGAAAGAAACCCGTCGGCAACGAACTATCACCCGAGTACAGCTACGCGGAAACGCTGATGAAGAAACTGTGGGTCCACGCCTACCCGAACAGCCCGGCGGGTCTGGACGACCCGCTGGTGAACCCGGGTATGGATCCGGGTCTGAAGCGGGTCGGGTGCAAACGGGTCCTCGTCTACGTGGCGGGGAACGATGTGCTGAGATTTAGGGGTTGGTATTACAAAGAGAGGTTGGAGAAGAGTTTGTGGGGTGGTGAAGTGAAAGTTGTGGAAGTTGAAGGTGAAAACCATGTCTTCAATTTGATTAACCCCACCACCCCTAAAGCTATCTCCATGCTTAATGTTTTGGCTAATTTTCTCAATAATCATCATTGATTATTTAATTGTGATCATTAATTAATTAATTTCTTGGTTTTTTCTTGAAGAAATAAGTTATTAATTATTATATATGTATGCAATGAGATAGGTACAAACTTGGAATTATTATGTACTTGATGGTGCAATATTTGCATAAAACGTCGCGAAATCCATCTGTCGCCGGCGGATTTTGAGCTGGCGGCGATGGACAAGAGACGGTGGAATAAAGATGAAAGAGAGAGAATTCAAGAGAAAGTATCGAGAGTGTGTTCTTGATTGTAATTGTGAACGTAACCTTAATAGGGTTTCGTACAATTTGTTTTATATAGGGAGCCATTTATGGATTTTTTTTTCGTAATATAATTTACAATCGCTGGCTATTCTTGTCTATGATTTATTATGATTGCTTCAATCATCGATTCTTCTTTATTTAACCGTGGAAATTGATCTCGCGCCCACAAGGGAAGTGTTGGTGCGAGCTCTTTAATCAACTTCGGCTAATCGCGATCGACTTCGTTCGAGCGAAGCTTCTTGGTTCATCGAAGCAAGTTCTTGATCTTTCGAGACGAGCTCTTGGCCCATCTTTATTTCCATTTTATCCCATTACGTCGAGAAGATGGGGGTATGGCCAATGCCTGCAGATTGACCCCATTGTATTTATTTTTATTATTATTATTTTTAAAATTTATTTATGTAGGAATAAGTGTATTGTAGTGAAGTTGGTGGTGACAGCTTTTGCTTATTTAATTTTGGATGTTCGTTAAGAACGTGTGTGGTCCCTTCAATATTTGTCCGAATTTAGCTTTTGAGTACTTTTTGTCACTTTGATTGTTTGCAGCTTGATTTTAACTAATGGGAGATGATATATAGTGACCAGCCATGCATGCAACGTGTACACACTAGTTTCCACAAATTTTTGACCTATGTCCCTATCTATTATTATTAGTATTAACTAGAATTTTCAATTCTAATTGCATGCATGTGACTTGCACCAACTTACCACCTCCGGAACCAGTTGAGCAAAATCTAAATAAATAAATTGGAGATGCGGGGTATCGATCCCCGTACCTCTCGCATGCTAAGCGAGCGCTCTACCATCTGAGCTACATCCCCTTGACTATTTCATGCATGTGACTCGATTATTATATATGCATATACTAATTGGTGAAGTTATACACTACATCAGGTAAGGTATATATATGTAGAGACGATCTTAAATAACCATCAACTAAGCACACAAACACATGGGTGCGTGTGTGTGATTATGTATAGATTTATGATTAACAATTAGTCGGTGTTAATATCCGAGTGGAGCAAAATATGGAAGTGATCCCACCTTATAAATTTTATCATATTCCAAATCTTATAATAAGTTATAACTAAAAGTTTCTCCAACTTAATTATTCTCAACAAATTTCATTTTTTTTCCCCAAAAAGTGCACATCAATTTTTTATAGTATCTAATAAAATAACATGGTAGAAAGTTTACCTAAAAAAGATCTTAGAGAATCATATGAGGTCGGTGCTAGGTCAGTGATGGTGCAAGATCAGTCAGCATCTTTTAAGACCTCCTTCCGAGCCCAATTCACTCAGTTGTCGGAAAGCTCACCTAACACCGGATTTAGGGAATAAACGAAAAATTTCATGAAAGAGAGAGAATTCAAAAGATAGTATAGAAGTGTATGATTGAAGTAAAAATTGTGACCATAATCGGGAATTTACATTTGTTTATATAGGGAATCTCAAGGGTAGACATTTCCTATTTTAGAATATTTTCATTCGTGGAGATTTACATTGCAATTACCAATCCTAATTTACATGCTTTCTTTATCTATTTAGGGAGAATATCTTCGAATCTTCTTCTTCCACGACTCTCCTTGAGCTCGCCAGTCGCCACCTACCCCCTCCATCTCTCTTGCGTGTTTCGGATGAGCTGGTGAACTCTTTATCCAGGGGGCATCGTTTAGCAGGTTTGGTACTAATAATTTTTCTTCTGACGAGCTTCTAAAGAGGTCATGTCTTTGATGCGCATTGAGCATCTGAAGCCAATATATCTATCTTGACCGACATATTTTTGTCCTTATACAGTTAACGGGTTCTATGTCGGAAGTTTGGCCCAAACTTGCCGAACTGATAGTACATTTGGGCTTCAATTTACAAAGATAATGGACTAACAAATTGTAACTTAAAATGGGCTTAATCTTGCAACCCTTGGCCCAAAACTAATAGTAATTAAAATACGCCGTGGTGCGCCTGTCCACAACGAATGTGGCGTATTTTAGTCGAGTGAGCTTGACTAAAATGCGCCAGGGTGCGCATCGTCCGAGCTGGCACTTACCCAATCCCCACTCGGCAATTCATCATCACCACCACCACCACCAAAGTCAATCATAAATTTTCGCTCTCCATTTTCTCTCTCTAGCCCTAACGGCCTTACCCCAACCCAACGGTCCTCAATCCAAAATCCTCATATATATACCTAGTAAATTCGGATATTCCGGCGAACTATTTTCCGGCGACGATGAGCGGAGGTGGGAGTTTCTACTGGGTGCGGAATCGTGGGGAAGAGTTTCAATCGAAGGGGATAATCGTGGTTTTCGCGTGGGTTTCGATTACCGGAGCTCAGCTGAAGGAGTTCGTCGGCTTGTGCTCTTCTCTCGGATGGAATTCTCTTGTTTGCCGCTCTGATTATCTCAATCCGTACGTTGTTTTCTCACTAATTTATAATTTTTTTTTTGTGTGTTTGTGTATGTGTGTGTGGATTGCGTTTGAAGCTGCACGAAGTTTACCGTTTTGAGCTAGTTGGTGTAGTAAACGAAGTAGAGTAGAGAATTGTAGCTTACTGTAAGTCGTTTTATGATTCAAGTGTAGACTTTGAAAATGGAGGTTGTGGGAGGAGAGCACTCTACTTGATGTGGATATCTGAGAAAGAGAGAAATTCTGAAGAACTATATCTAGGTTATACTAGAAATCCCCGATTATTGTGGCAATCGACTTGCTACAATCGAGCCTTCTCAGTACCGCTTTAGCTTCCATTATGACATGTTTTTACCAGTGTCAGTGCATACTTAAATCTTATTGACGAACTAAGTGATCGAATTATATTAAATCTGGCTCTTAACGGAAAGGGTTTGCGATTTAACAGATTAGTTGTTTTGTATGCTTAAGAATGGGGGCTGATAATCAGTTATGGCTTATAACATGCATTTGCTTCAGTCTTCAGAACCGTACTTTAAACAAGTATCTGATGTTGGTGAGTTACGTTTTTGCAGATTCTTTCCTGACCGGGCCACATCACTTGCTTTTGCTGTCCTTAACGAACTTGCTAAGGTCAGTCTTATAGCACTTCTATATTAGTGGAAATAAAACAAACTGAACGAAAAGCATATATTTTCGACGTTTTCCTTATATCAAGTATTCTCGATGCTAAAATAGCATTTCAAATACAAATCTAAGCATGTTTCTCTCTATTGGCTTCCCAGTACTCGGTGAAAAGATTTGTCTTAAAACAGAGCTTGTATTGTTTGATCCATTCGTCTCGTGATAAACCTTGTATCGTTTTTTGCTTATTCTCTGAGATTGTGTATGTAGGAGCTTAGAGGTGGATTATGTCCTGTAGTCCTTGCAACCTTTTCTGGCGGTTCCAAAGCTTGCATGTATAAGGTCTTACAGGTAAAAGCAATATATAGTTGAAAAAAGTGTTCTCATTGCATATTCTGTCTGTGGTATTTAATAATCCCTTTTCCGATTCATGCAGATTATCGAAGGATGTGCAGAGGTGGAGCTTGATATGGTTAGAAATTTTCCCTTGGGCTTTACTTTATGAACCTGTTCGTGGTGGATAAGTAAACGTTTTTTTAATTACCTATCTATTGTTACATGAAGGAGGACAGTCGACTGGTTTCGAGCTGCATCTCAGGGCAGATTTATGATTCTGATCCTATAGAATTTACTAACGACTTGGGTGCTCGATTTGCTTTGCCTCACTCCATCCTCAAAATCCCTGGAACATCAAAGCTAGTTTCTTTGTTTGTGAAAGGTGTTACTTCGAGCTTGGATTCTTTATTTCTCACCAGGTTTGGATCTCAACGTGCAGAGTATTGGCAGACCCTTTACTCATCAGTCGTAAGTTCGGTTTTCCAAATTATCTAATTAGGCGTTGTTTGGTTGGGGAGATTAGTCATGATTAACTAAATAATTGGAATTTGTTTGATGTTTGGTACACACAATAACTTCTCGGCTCGACCCGCAAATATTATGTTTTCATGGCTTATCGCCTTTTAGGGAGCTTTTTTAATGGACCTTCCATGGTCAAATAATACAATTGAGTTTCATTAGATTATTCAATCGTATCTTGACAACCAAACAAGGCCTTACGTTATTATTATTATTATTTATTTTTTTGTTCTGACCCTTTTATTCATTTGATGTTTCTCTGTAGGGTTTGGGGGCTCCATTTCTTATTTTATGCTCGGATAATGACGATGTCGCTCATTTTTCAACGCTATGTACCTTTGTTCAGCGCTTACAGGATATGGGTGGTAACGTAAAAGTTGTAAGGAAAAGTGTATCTGCCCATCTAGGTTGGTTTCCATTCTCCTCGTTGTCTGAATTGATTTAATTATGTGTAGCTTAGTGGCAAGTTATTACCTAAATGTCTTTTGATTCCGTAAGAGCTTCTTTCCTTTTTCTCTCCGCCATTTCAATTTACTCAATTATTTTCGTGTTGACAGATCACAACCACCACCACAGATCCGCTGTAACTGAGTTCCTCCAGCAGGCAGTTTCAGTATTCTCCGATAAAATCCAAAAACTCGGACAAAAATCCCACATAGACGATGAAATATCCGACCTGATATGCGACCTCCAAAACGCAGCAGTTGACTCAAACCAGAGTTTCCAAAGAGTTGCAGTTGGTCCAATGGACCACTTCTTCATTCCAAGCTCTTCATCGGAAACTTCCCCACAGAAAGAGACGAAAGACAGGTCATCACCTAATCGTACAATTCCTCGCATGTGCACAAACACTGTTCTCGGCCAAGTGCTTTTCGATGTGTGCGTTCCGAAAAATGTTGAAGGATGGGATATTAAATTCTCAGGCTCGTTGAACGGAGAACCCGTTGCTTCTGTTCGTAGAAGATCGCCCTTTAGTGGAATCAAACATAGATCAAGACTATAAAACAACTTTTTTGAGGTAAACAAAGTAAATAGAGCGTAAAAATCAAAAGTTAATTTTTGATGGAGTTTTGGATATGACCGTAGTTTATGGCAATTGGGGAGGGCTGTATAATAATTTCATGTAAAAAATCGGACATTTAACTGTCGGATACGAGAATTTGTGCTGCCTTTGCTTAGGTTTGTGCTGAATGAAGGTTTGTATGATGTATATGATACTTGTATATGATGTATAATCTTGGTATAGTGTATGATACTTGTAGATATATATGAACATATTATTTGTGTGATGTGATGATGCTCTCATAATGTTTGTTCGCTATTTTGTTTTAAAATTTAGGGAAAATTAGGGCCACCCCTGAGTTATGGTCAAATTATGAAAAAACCTCTCCTGTTTGGGTAATTATAGCCAACTCTTAACTATGTATTATCTCGCAAAAAATCCCTCAAGAGGTAAATTTAGGGATATTAAATCGGTAGAACCGAACTGAAATTTTGGTACGTCAACATTTCATGCCGTTTATCAAAATAAATATACGATTTGGTTCGGTAAATAATCGAATTACATAAATTTTATGTAAAAATATTTAAAAGAGGGATGACTGTAATTACTCAAACAAGAGGAATTTTTTCATAATTTGACCATATCTCATGGCATGGCCGTAATTTGCCTAAAATTTAATAGGGTAAATTACAGTTATTCTCTAGATAAAGTCAAATTACGAAAAAAAATCATTATCGTTTTGGTAATTACAATTACTCCTCAATTATGAATTTTCTTACACGTCTACCCACCGTTATAGTGTCAAATTTAGTGGAATATTTTTTCTATATTATGTGATTGTACCCCTAAATTGAACGGAGTGGGTCGAAATCATTTCCTTCAAAAAATTTTGCTTTCGAAAGTGAAAAACTAATAACGCAAATTACGAAAAAAAAAAACAAGCATATTTGGGTAATTACAATCATTCTTCAACTATAAATTTTCTTACACATCCATAAGTCAAATTTAATAGAATCTTCCATATTGTAGGCAATATTCTCCAATTTCTTTCATTTACTAAGTGAAAGCCTAAAACCAATTCTATTATAATAGCTTATTTAAAAAAAAATTGATTTAATAAATGATTTAAAAAAGAAAAGAAGGCCGAATTCCTTAAAACAGTGAAATGTAAACAGTAGCTTTACAGAAAAATCAGTACTTGAAAGGGGCAGTCAAATCAAATCCCATCTGCACTCGATTATGTCTAAAAAAAATTTGAAATTGAAATTGAAATTGGGAATTTCATACCGTTGATTTGCCTGCACACACACCAACATGGATGTGTGTGTGTGATTCAATCAAGAAAAAAGAAGAAAAAGGAAAGAAAATTAAAAAAAGAAAATCAGCAGCTCACTCTAAAATTAAAATCTGCGGTGTTTATGCTTCGGTTGACGGTTGTGAAAGCCCAAACCAAAAACCATGGCTATATCTTCAAAAAATGATTCTAATCGAGACCCTCATTCTTCTTCTTCTTCTTCTAAGTCCAAGGTCTCTCTCTCTCTCTCTAGAAAAAAATGTATTTATATGAATTTAATTAGTGTATTTAATGATGTATGTATAACAGCTTAAGCAGAAGAATACATGGGAGTTTAAAAAACAGCTGGTGGAGAAGAGGCTAATCGATCTCGACAATATGCACAAGAATAATGTGAGATTCTTCTTCTTCTTCTTCTTCTTCTTCTTCTTTATTATGTATTTATTGCAGTAATTTTTTTTTTATATTGGGGTTTTATTTATTTAGCACCTATTATAATTTACTCCAATTGTTCAAACAAAGAACAAAGAGAAACCCTAACTTATAAACCCTAATGTATTGAGGGTTAATATTAAAGGTTGCATTTGATTCAATAATTGGGAATTTTACAAATGGTACTTCGAAAACTGAACGAGGATGAAGAAACTAACGATGATTCTTTATCTTTCTTAATTGCTAAGAAAAATAGTAGAAGGATTTTCTTTCTTTTTTTTTTTTTTTTTTGTGAAAGTATGGAGTCTTTATATTTAGGCGAAATCGAGGTTCTATGTTTAAATGGTGTTCCGATTCTTATCTTAATATCGATAATACGAAACACGAAACACACATGTTTGAAGTGATGTAGTAAATTGTGTAGTTGATTTCGTTGATTGACGTTATTCAAATATGAGATGTAATGTGGTTTGAGATGTAGGATATTCTTGTTTGTATTCGAAGTTGAAACTCAGTGATGTCGTATTGAATCTTGTGCTTCTGTATCGCAGCTGAATTTTTATGTTTAAACTATTAATCGTTGGAATCAAACCCATAAACGTGTAATTAAATTTCCATTTGATCTTGAGATGAAAATAATAGTCTCTCGTATGTGATATGCGTGTTCTACCAGTGGATCCTTTGTTCACATTCGTTTCTATTCAATTTATTTTCCAATAAGATAGTTTGCTTCATTTCGCACTTACAATTTTTATTTTATTTTATTTTTTTATATTGATTGAGCAGAGTGATTCTGTAAGCATGGATAAGACTATCGTACGGTAAGTGCAAAATGCTATACGAAAATTCAAAAACTATTACCTTGTACTTTTTTTTTTAAAGTAGTTTTCTTTGTTTTTATAGTCATCAGTCCGAAGAAAAATCAACCACTGAACTCCATAGCTCTGCCATGCAACGAGCAGATGAAATTCAAAAAAATCTCCCGAAACAATTTCCTAGTTTTGTGAAGCTTATGTCTAGATCACACGTAACTCAAGGATTTTGGTTGGTGAGTTAGAGTTGTGCCGCGTGCCTCTAAACACGAGAGGAAACAAAAATCTAGAGAATAAATTTAAAAAATAATGATCGGGTTGAATTTTATGTTTAAATTGTAGGGTGTACCGAGGCAATTTTGTGATGATCATCTACCGATGAAAGATGTGACAATAGTTTTGATCGGTGAAAATGAGAAAGAATTCGATACAAGGTACTTGGCTGCTAAAAGCGGGCTAAGTGGTGGATGGAAATTTTTCGCCGCTGGACACAAATTGATCGAGGGTGATGCCGTCGTTTTTCAACTCATTGAGCCGTGCAAGTTTAAGGTAATTTTTTTATCGATACGTAATCTTATTACACACACGGTCTTGTTTTTTTTTAATTTCTGATTTGATTTGTTTTGACAACGAAATTCAAATTCGTAGCTCTCATTTGAAGTTTATATTTCTCGATTCGTTGTGGTGGATTTCCATCTCATTTCGGGTTTCGGGTTTCGGTTTGGAAATCCCTCAATTCAAAATGTACGCCAACTGTTTGTTGTTTTGTTTCGTAAAGGTATACATTGTGAGAGATAGAAGTTTATCAGAAGCCGATGGCGCTATAAGCCTTCTAAATCTAGATTCTAATCCCGACCAGATTAAACCATGTACGTATAATTCTCAACGTCTTAAATCTCATTTTCGTTTTATTTGCTCTACGCATTGATTTTCGTTTTTTACTACTATTTCACTTATCTTGTTAGTGAAAGTCGAAGAGCCAGAAGAAAATGCAGATATTAAAGAGACTACAACAACAACGAGTGATAAATATCCGGACCCTCTTGTTGAAGATAATAATCATCCGAAGAAAAAGAAGATGAAAAAAATTATTCGCAACACCGAGAATTCCAATGCGGAAATGTCCGACAGAATCAAATTCTCCGAATCGCCCCTCGATTTCAAAAGCGTGAAGTGCTTTCAAGATTTCAGCATCCACTTCAACGGCCTAATCCTCGACTCGGAGATTCCTTCGCATCTTAAAACAAAGTACTACGAGCTATGCAAAAGTCAAAACACGTTTCTCCACGAAAACCTCCTCCAGGGGCTAAATAGTAAATTAGTCGCCGGAATGATCTCCGAGACGGTCAACATAGCGGATGCTGTGAGAGCGTGCAAAGCTAGCACGGCACACGAGCACTTGGAGAGTTGGGATAGAACTTTGAAAGCTTTCGAGGATTTAGGCATGGCTGTGGGGCCCGTACGCGGTAGAATAAACGAGCTTGTGAGTCTCTACAGCGAGCCTCGAACGAGGATTATCGAGTCGATGAGGAATCAGAGGGATGAAGCTCAAGTAGTGATCAGGGGTTTGAGTGAGAGGCTTTCGATTGTGAGGAGTTGCGTCGAGAAATTAGATGCTGATATTGATGCTCTCGAGGCGAAAAACGAGAGTTTAGGGCTTGTTTTTGAGGAAATTGCTTCTGCTCCATGGTAAAACTACTGAAAAAATTGCAGAAACTTCTTTTTGCCAAAAAATTTAGAAACAAAAGAAAAAAATGAAGAAAGAAAAAGGTAAAATGGATGTATATATTTTTGCACTTTGGTGTATAGGCTTTTATGTGTCTCTCTATCTGTGTTTTTGGAAAAGTGTTGGGGTGGTTATGTCATTAAAAATTGTTTGTCTAGGTTGATAATTAAATCAAAATATACTCGATTTGAAATATATTTTTAAAAAACAAATTACGGTAATCTCTGAGATAAGTTCAAATTGCAAAAAATATATTTTGTTTGGATAATTACTACTACCCATCAAATATGTATTGTCTTATGAAAAAACCATCATTCAATAGGAAAATTTGACGTCGTAATTCGTAAGGATGAAAGTGTATGATAATATATAGATGAGGGGTGGTTTTGTAATTACTCAAATACGAGGAATTTTTTTCATAATTTGAATATACCTCAAGGGGGTGACCGTAATTTGTCCACTATTAAATGTTCGTTTGAACTCGAATGAACCGATTTGAACATATATTATTTTTCGTTTCGAGCTACATAGCTCTGTCCAAGCTCTATTACTAAAAAAAAGTATATATATACAAAAAATTAAGCTACTCAGAACTCAATTTATATTAGTGTAGATTGATTATTAGATGAGTTTTAGCTATGGTGTTCGTCAAGGGTTTAAACCAACTTCACATACTTCAACGAAAATAAAATAGGGTGAATAGCACTTATCGCATGTCGTTTGAACTTTGTGCACACGATCCCTTTATACTTTCACAATTGCACATGAACCCCTTGTATTTTAATATAAGCACATAACCAACCCCGTATACTTTCAAAATTTTATTTCTTCCCAACGAGCATAATTATTTACCAGGTGAAATACCACAAGGATATTACGTGCTTGTATTAAAAGTACAAGGAGATCGTGTGCATAAAGTTCAAATTACAGGGATCATGTGCTTATATTAAGAGTACAAGGTGTCATATGCACAAAGTTTAATAAATTATCTAGAGGGGGTTTAATGCTATTTACCATAAATAAATTATCTAATAAACAACCCTAGTCAAACGTACCACTTTTCACTAGGGTTGTTCATGAGTCAGTTTTACCCGACAACAGACCCATTATCTGCCCGACTATTCAGGTCGATAATTGCCCACCAACCGACTCGTTTTGGTCGGGCCGATAATTTTAACCGACCCATGAATGGTTTGGTCGGGTATAGTTTCTAATTTGTTGAAAAATCGGTTGGCCGATATTACCCGACTAGGGGTGGAAATTGGAACGAAAATTTCGATTTCCGCCGAATCCGATCCGAAATATTCCGATTTTGGAACGACCTTTTCAATTCCGAATTCCGAAAATTCGAAAAAAATCGGATCGGAATCGGAAATACATTAACAAATTTCGGAATTTCCGA